TTTTTAAAGAGTGATGATAAGATAATATTTAATTGAAAAACTCAATAATTTGACAATGAGCCCTATAACATTTCTGCAGACATCGTATTTGAGTTTGAAATATCTTAAAATAATAATAATTTTTTTTATCATTAAGATTGTTTCATTCGTACTATTGCAGCGTACTTGAAATGTTGAATTTAGACATGTTTTCAGCAGGTAATACTCTAGCTAATTGCTTAGCAAAGATGGCCAGTAAGAACTCTGTTGGCGAGGTGCTATTCATCTCATCGCCGCAACATGTTGCTTCAATTATGAAGGTAGGAGCTGCAATTTAGTCTGGGAATGTTTCTTTGTTCTATTCTGTTTAATAAAAATAAATTGTTACCCTTTAATTTTTTAAATCAAATTTAATGATTATATTGTTACAATTTGGTAAAATTTAACCATCTCGGCGTTCGCCTCCGAGAACACTATCAAGTCGTCCGTAATTGGATGTGAGTAATCCGCAACTCACTTTTCCCAACGGTAACACCCATGAACACTCTAGCGGACGACGCTTTAACCAACATACCGCTATTTTCTGCATTAGCGGTCTCGGATACCGCCACGACCACGACATAGCGACCGTGATACCGCTATCCAGTCGCTATTTGAATCCTTGTCGATATTGACGGAGTCGAGATACACAGATTGATCCATTTCCTCCATCTTTCTCGTAACAAAGTCAAGAAAGTTCCAGTCCACCGAGTCGTAAGTCTTACTAAAATCAATTTTGAAAATAATACCATCCCTCTTATTTCGTTTAAGTTCATCAATGATTTCATTAGCTTCTATAGAGCAATCCACAAGTTGTTTCCCTGCAGTAACAACAAATTGGTTTTCTCCCACATCTTTAATGGACCCGACAAGCCTTCTCGACAAAACCCGAGCCAAGATCTTGTATATACTACCCACAAGCGATATAGGTCTAAAATCATTTACCTGATCAGGAGAAGATTTCTTCGGAATAAGAGTAATGAAAGAATGGTTGATGTTAAAATCATTCAACTTGCCATCGTAGAAATCGGAGAAAAACTGCATAAGATTCTTTTTAGTCAAGTTGATTAGAACACCATATGATAAATTGCCTTCTCACTCTTTACATCAAGATCATTCACACCTTCAGCTTCATCATCACCCATACGTTGGGAAAAACTGGTTAGCAAAGCACAACCATCCTTATGAGTCCGAGTGACCAACAGCTTCTGCCGATGACGGATAAACATCGAGGCAGACAGTGGCTTAGTGAGAGTATCAGCAACCTGCTCATATGCTGGAACCTCTGCACCTACAACCGACCAGCTGCTACAATTTCTCAAACAAATAATAAATCCAACTCAACATGTTTAAATTTTGAATGAAGGTATGGATTGGAACACACAGCAACAGTGCTTGTATTGTCAGTCCAAAGAGTTGGTTTGCCATGAAAGGAACACTGCAATTCCTTGAACAAAGACACAAGACACATGATTTCTGAAGCAGCTGAGGTAACACTGCGATATTCTGCTTCTGTAGTGGATCGAGCAACCACCTGCTGTTTGCGAGAACTCTATGACACTAGATTGCCACCAAAATAGATGCAATATCCTGATGTGGATTGCCTGTCATCCATATCAGCCCCCCAATTTGCATCAGCAAAGCCCACCAATGACAGTCGAGAGGAGGATGAAAACCTCAAACCATAATCCGAAGTGCCCTGCAAATACCGCAGAATTCTCTTGACTGCCTGGAAATGTAAGTCTCTAGGAGCTTGCATAAACTGACAGACACGATTAACAGCATAGGCAATGTCTAGCCTAGTGATCACCACATATTGGAGAGTTAGAGGGAGCCTTTGCAAGCAAGAGACCCGATGCGCTCCTTGTTTTTGAAGCTTAAGAGGCTTAAGCCTGTGCTGCGGAAACTGAATGTTTCTCGGTATGGGAATATATCGATGAGGGTTAAGGAAAAGAAAGTGGGCCTGGAAAAGTTACAGTTGCAGCTTTTGAGTAACCCGTCTGATTCTGTTTTGAAGGCTAGATAAAGGGTCGTGTTTGCTGACTATCAGAATTTGCAAAGTGCTGAGGAGAGTTTTTTCAGGCAGAAGGTTAGGATTAGTTGGATTCAGGAAAGGGACCGTAACTCAAAATTTTTCCATTCTATACTATTAAACATAATCGCCATTCCATTCGTGTTTTGCAGAATGATCAGGGGTGCCTATTGGAGTCACAGGACCAAATTGCTGAAGAGGCTATAGGGTTTTTCAAAAAGTTGCTGGGAGAGCAGTTAAGACCTAATCTTGGGGTTTCAGTTGATCTTCTTAGGGACTTGCTGGGGGTGACTTTCTCTGATGCTGCTAAGGACTCTATGAGGAGGCAGGTGTCGCGCAAGGAGGTTAAGGTTGCAATGTTTGCTCAGGATTCTGATAAGGCCCCTGGCCGGACGAGTATACTTCCCTTTTCTTTAAGGCAACATGGGGAATTGTTGGGGAGGATGTGATTGATTCTGTGCTGCATTTTTTTGAAAACTCCCAGTTGTTTGATGCTTTTAATACGGCTAGTTTATTTTTGGTTCCCAAGAAGCCCAATTCTATTCGCATGAGTGATTTTCGACCCATCTCCTGCTGCAACGTGATTTTTAAGTGTGTTAACTTGAATTATGGTTGCGCGTATCAAGCCTTTCCTATTTGAGATCATTTCTAGTAGCCAGAGTGTTTTTATTCCCGGGCGTAGTATTAGGGACAACACATTAATGGCTCAAGAGTTGGTTAAGGGGTATAATCAGTCTTCTCTCTCTCTTTCTCTTAGGTGTGCTTTGAAGTTAGATCTGCAGAAGGCTTTTGACTCTGTGGATTGGCATTTCTTGATTGCAGTTTTGGAGGCTCTTGATATGTTGGCTGATATGGTGGGGTGGGTTAAGAGTTGTGTTATCGCTCCTTGTTTTTCTGTTTCCGAATGACAGTTTAGTAGGATACTTTAAGGGGCGTCTGTCAGGGGGACCCGTTGTCCTCTTATTTGTTTGTTATTAATATGAATATTTTATCCAATCTTTTGGATAGAGCTACGAGTTTGACGTCATTAAGTACCATCATAAGTGTCATCGGGTGAAGCTCATAAATCTTTGTTTTACGGATGATTTGTTGGTTTTTTTTCTAAGGGATTTGTGGCTTCTATTTTGGGTGTTTGGGAGATTTTGAATGTTTTTCATAGTTTCTCTGGTCTGCAGTTGAATGCTGGGATTTCTGAGTTTTCTTCTTCTGGTATGGATAGTTATGCGTTGCAGGAAGTTTGCGCAATCACGGGGATCCAGAAGGGTAAGCTGTCTGTTTGGTATTTGGGGTCCTCTAGTTGCGAAGAGGTTAACTATTAGGGATTGTGGGCCACACGTGGAAAGGATTGTAAGCATGCTCCTGAGGTGGCAAGCTAGAGTTCATTCTTATGTCGGGCGTCTCCAATTAATTCAGTCTGTCGTTTATAGCATGCAAAAATTATTGGAGTTGCCAATTGGTGTTGTCTGATGTTGTAATTAAGCGTATTAATCAGTTGTGCTCCAAGTTCTTTTGGAAGGGTGAATATAAGACGATGAAGGGGGCTAGGGTGAGTTGGTCGACTATTTATAGCCCCAAGTTTGAAGGCGGTTTGGGCCTCAAGGATCTTAAAGTTTGAATCATTCGTGCTTTATGGGTTTGATTCGAAAGTTGCTTTTAAAAGAGGGGTCTATTTGGGTGGCTTGGGTGCACGCATATGTTGTGAAGCAAAATTCTTTTTGGCATATTTCGTGTTCTCAAAGTTGTAGCTGGACTTGGAGGTGTATTTTGCAGCTTCGGACTAGGGTAGGTATGATTCTTGGCTTGCTTGGAGACTCTTTTTCTTCCTTACGTACGGTTTGAGATGAGTTGAGAGTGCATCGTGAGAAGGTGCCTTGGGATAGACTTGTTTGACACTCGGGTCATGTTCCTAAATTTTTTGTAATAGCTTAGATGGTAGTTCTTGATAGGCTGCCAACTAAGGCCCGGCTCTTGTCTTTTGGTTTGCGTATTGATGGGAGTTGTGAGTTTTGTTCTAATGAGTTAGAGTCAAGGGACCATCTATTTTTTACTTGTTTTACTAAAGCTGTTTGGGCTTGTGTGTTGAGTTTGTGTAATGTGCCGAGGGCCGTTCTAGACTGGAATGGGGAATTTGCTTGGGCTTGTCGGCAGTTGAAAGGGAGATCGTTGTTATCAGCTTTGCATTGCGTGGAATTGTTATATTGCAAAGGTTTGGAGGGAGCGGAATCATATGCATTTTAAGGGCATTGCGGCTTCGGAGGATAGGCTGGTGGCTCAGATTAAAGAAGCTGTTCGCTTGCGTTTTAGTGGCCTGAAGGTTAATTCTAGGGGTCCTATTAATGCTTGCTAAAACAATGATATTACCTATAAAATTATCCAACACCTACACTTACAGGGTAAAATAAACAAATGGTCATCTGACTATAAGATATTAATTTGTTTAAATCATTGACTATTAAAAGTTATAAAACGGTCCTTCACCTATAGGGTGTTGTTTTGTTTAGTTTTTTGACCACTAAAAGTTATAAAATAATCACCTAACTATTCATGTGTTCCAAACGTATCATTCTCTGTTAAAAAATTGATGGTAGTATGAGCTTAATTTTAACATGTTTACTGAAATATGATAAAATTTGATCTCAGAATTTCAAACGACTATCATATCTCAGTAAACATGTTAATGTCCAACTCAAACAACCATAAATTTTTAACGAAAAGGATGAGTTTGAAACATATGAGTAGTTTGATGACTATTTTATAACTTTTAATAATGTAATGATTCAACAAAATAATACTCTATAATCAGAGGATCATTGTGTAACTTTTAATAGTCGTTACTCAACAAAACAATATCTTATAATCTTTATCCTAAATAATAAACACGTAAAATTTACATATTCACTTTAAATTTTTTTACTTGCCAAAGCTAAGGTTATTATGTACGCGAGGCTAATTAAATGATGAACTTTCTTCTACTTCCACTGTCTAAAGAGGAAGTTGCTTCTACTTCCACAATTCCGTCGTCATCATTTTCTACATTGATTTCACCGCCGTTGGATAAACCCTTCCCTTCTATTTCCACTATTCCGTCGTCGTTTTCATCAATTTCACCGCTGGTGGACAAATCATTACCTTCTACTTCCACTATTTGATCGTCGTTTTCTTCATCGGTTCCACTTCCGTTGGATAAATCCTTCCTTTCACTAGATGTAAGGCCAGGCAGCTCGACAGAAGGGAATATTTCAGATGGACCAGCCACCCTGAAGCTCAACTCCACGGGCACAGAAGCAGTAGGGCTCGCCAGAAGCTCATGTTTCTTCCTTTTCTCTCTAACGTCGGCAAGCCATTGCTCCATTATTTTGGCTATTGAATCGCTTACTAAACATCCCTTTATTTCTGAACCCATCTGCATCCAAATAACGATCGACTTAGCCTTATCATAATCATCAAGCTACAAGATATCAGTCCTCGATATATATATAATAGGTTCACCTGTGTAACGAGTGCATATAAAGGAAGTGTGGTATAGCTGCAAATCACTTGAACTGTGATCCTAATGAAGATAAAGGGAATCAAAAATCAGTTATCAAATCGGAAAGTATTAGATTTCCACTAAGTTGGAAAACAAAGCAGTGATTCTCACGGTAATAAAACCCTTAGGACGACCACTGCAGTATGCTCATGATAACAAGACCCTAATCCAAATTGAACCTGAGAACTAACCGATCAGTTAAGCAAAAGAACATAAATTTGCATAAATTTGCATTACGACAAGAATGCTTTAGGGTTTCTTTTAAAAATGTATCATTCATACAATCTTTTACACTTACCAGTAGGGGAAGAAAAGACATCCAGAAGAACACGTACCAGCCTGGAGAATCAAAAAGAAGAAGAATAAGAAGAAGAAGGTCGAAAATTGTTGTTTATTAGATTTCATTTGAAGTTAGTCCTGTACTTCAAGAAGCACTTACCATGTACATCAACAAGCATGAAAATAACAACAAAAAGCCACATCAGCAGACACAGTTAAATAATGTTAGTTGGTCCCAGTTTATACTACATCAAAGTGGGAATTTAAATAGCGACCCATTATAAAAATAGAGACTACTATATAACAGTAACGTTGTATCCGTTATCACGATAAACGTAATACAACCGTAACTACCCTTTAAATCACCGACTCAAAGTGATAAAGAAAAGAAATGAGGAACCTGATGGCCACTATAGTCTTGAAATCTTCATCTAGGGATCGTTCTATGTAGCCCTGGAAATTGAAATTTCTATTCCTTCCTGCCAAGTGAGCCTGAAAATTCACTCCAAGTTTTACCTTAATATTTGGAAAAACAAAGGTAGTTGGTTTTTTTTTAGTGAAGATCATTACCGAGATAAAGCTATGTCTTAAGGTGAGATAATCAACTTTGGCTACTGGATTAAAGAACTGTCTGAAGAAACATTTCTGCTCCAAATTCACAACCAAAGCAGTTATTATAGGCAAAACTCGGTGGCAATTAATGAATGCTAATTTTAGTGTTGTAATGGAAACATACAGTCCAGAGTTGAAGTGATGTTTCAGAACAAGAAGAAGCATGTCGCCTTGCAAACGTTGTTTGTCTTGCTAATCTGAACCTTCCAGGATCTGTATATAGTTATAACACAAATATTAATAACATATATTTAATTTAAGGGTAAAGAACGCAAATGGTCCTCCGAATATAGGGTGTTGCTTTATTAGGTCCCTCAACTATTAAAAGTTATAAAATAGTCCTTCAACTATAGAGTATTGTTTTGTTATGTCCTTAGACTATTAAAAGTTATAAAATGACCACTTTACTATTCATTATATTTCAAACTAGTCATTTTCCATTAAAAAATGGACGATATTCTGAGCTCTGAACGATAATTATTCATGGTCAATTCGAAACTTTTAGCATAAATTTAATTTTGATAACTAAACAATTATAGTATAATTAAAAATAAATAAACAATTATTATTTAATAAAATTTTATTTTATTTTATTTTATAATTTACCCTATAAAAGGCCCCACATGCCTGACCCATGAAACATGTTTTCACTAGAAGCATCAATAAATAAATAACAATTAATATAGGGATCTCAATGTTATTAAATTATTTATTTGTGGAACGCATTGCATTAAAATAAATAAAGACTCCCTATGTACACGATTTATTCTGTGTTTGGAATGGTAGTGGAAAGCCTCAAAACGACACTTTAATATTTAAGAACAGTGTTTAACATACCATGGGAGATTTGATACTCTGTCGTTTTGATTTCTTCCTCCCATGCTTTCCACCGCCTCGTCTACATTAATCAAAAAACAAAGTCGATTAAATTAACTAATCTGAAATCACATATAGATGCATAACTTTATGTTTTATGTTAGAGATACAGAATTAAATGATCAATAAAATGTATAAAGGAAATTCGATTTCGGAATAGTATATTGTGACTATAAGGTAGAATATATGTTTAGAATTTTTTTTAATCGTTAATAACGTACACGTATCTATATATATATATACACGTGTGCTTAAACCTGAAAATTTTAAAGATTCTCCAGTATAGTGAATATTGGGATAATTAGTTGTTTAATTGCCTTGGCCCTTCCAAAAGCCATGGTGAGGAAACCGTAGACAATCTGCATGACTGCTAGAACAAAAACTAATGCTTGCAGCTGCTCCATTCCCTTCCATGTAATGAGTGAAACCTTTCCCTGTACACCAAAAATCATGATAAAAAAACATGGGGAAAAAAGGGTTTTACTCTTTACTATTCATTAATTACACTCCATTCCATATATACTTTAGCACTGCAAGGATCAGCCAATGCAGCCTGATCTTCACCAGCCAGTTGCCTTTCGTGGTTGCCGTCAAGATGCTGAACGTTGGATTGAGTTTTCTTCCTGCAGGGAAGCATGGTGTCTCCAATATTGGGCGGTACACATAGATCAGAAACTGGAGATTGACTCCATGTGAATAGAAACGCCAGGAATCCCATGATCATCAGCTCTAAAAAAAAGAAAACCAGATGCAACAAATTATACGCGAGCTTCATGTTAATATATACACGGGAAGAACCGAAGAAGAAGAAGAGGTTGATATTATATGGAATTTGCACCTGTTTTCAGCCTCTCCACCGCATCGTTCAAGGCATATTTTCGACGTCTCTTTAACCACTGCAACCGGCAGCGTTAAGCAGGATTATAGATATCCGGAAGAAGAAAAGAAGAAAGTTTTGAATTTTTTTTAATATGATCATTACCTTGGAGAGGAGGCGGATGCCGTGGTCTATGGAAATGGAAAGAGAGATGAAAACGAAGGAAACGGTGGCAACAGCCCATGTTGGCGTGTGTTCGAGAGAGCCATTAAGTGAATTCTCAGTCGCCATTATCGATATTTCTTCTACACTTCCCTTGCCTGCTTTCCAATACAATGCAGTTTCCAAATCTTGAAAAGAATATACAGCTGTTCAGTATATTATATGGGAAAATTATACGACACTTGACAAGCACGGCTAGCGAGCACCGCTAACGATGAATACAGTTAATTTAATTTATAAAATTATAAAGTATTCAACTTATAATTATAAATTAATTAAAAATCTAAACATAAATTATTTAAAATAAAATATTAATTACATTATTTTTTTATAATCTTATTTGAAATAATAATTAGATCAAATAATAACGCCTAAATTAAAAAACTTTAAATTATTTTTTCTTGTGCCGCGGCCGCTGCTCCTCCTCACTCAGTCTGGCTGATGCTAGGTTGAGGAACCGAGTCCGGTCCATCGATGGACGGCTTTATCACCGAATAAAACAAACATTGTAGAAGATTGTGAAAGTCAGGAGAGCAATGGTTAAATATGCTAGGGAAGACCCTGAAACTTCTGGGCTATCTTCTACCATTTCGTCCCTTGTAAGCTTTACATCTGAAGCTGCAATCAGTTAAAAGTAAACCTGTTACTACCAAATTCTCATATAATTCAAATAACATCATAGCTTTTCTCCAACCTTTACGATTATCATTTCTAGAAAAGGAACCATACAACTTTTTCTTTACCATTCGATCTGTTACAATTCTAAGCCTTTCAGAGCTAGAACGTAATCACACAATCAAAGGCCTATAAACATGTAATCAAATTTTTTGGAGGTACAAGGAAGAAAATTGTCGAATATAATTTGCATAAGGCAATTAAACAGAGCAGACGCAAACTCTGTTATTTCTATTTTTCTAAAGAACTTTGGAATCTAAGATAAGAGAAGCATATGTGGATGTTGAAACACTATTAACTAGACTTTTGCTAGTTGATTCGTGCGGCACTTAGACGATTTTCAGGTTGAAATGGCGCCTAAGTCAGCCTTGACCACGTCCTTGTGAGTCTCCGGCTCTCTAAGCGATGAACAAACCCGTTAGGGTTAGGCGGCAGGTTGAATGGATCTCAGAAGCACGAGCATTGTGGGGACTTCCTAAGTCACCACGACTTGAACCACTTTGGAACTTCGAAAGAACTCATAAAGGAACTACACTCAAGGCTATCTCAGCCCTCACATTCGGTAACGCAAGCCACAAAAGCTTCAGCACAAAAGGGAACAAGCCAACAAAGCTAGAAAGCTAGAAACAAAGGAACTTAGAGAGAAAGTAAGAGTGCATGCCTCTATTTATAGTTGAGGCCCTCAAGATCCAACGGTCTAGATCAAAGTATATCGACGGCTTAGATTGAATCCTACCTTATCAAGAACTTTATCTCTAAGGAATTTGAATTCAAATACAACATTATCCCTAATTAAGTATTTATCCCTTTAATTATTAGATAATATTATCCTTTATGGAACCTCTCAAGGAACGAGCTAGGTCTGATGGTTATGGGCAAGCCTAACACTTCGTACGATTCTCTTACAGAAATCCACGCGTACATCTCTCGGTCCGAATCCACGAGCCTTGACAAAATTGCCACCATAGAACATGTAACACCCTCGTCACTTCTCTCGGACGCCTCAGACTTGATCATTCATGGACTCGTAAGCATTATCCAAGAACTGGGCCAACTTATCATGTCCAATAAGCCCAAGTCTGCGCACATAAAACCCCTATTATGAACATTTGCGCCAATGTCCATGGCCCCAAAAGTTTAGTTTGTGACATTCTCCTCCACTTGATCTAGCAACACCCTTGTCACTAGGTGAGAACACTTGGTCTTGATCACATTGGACGCTCTAACAAAACACCTTGGCTTGCTCGCCTTGGTTAACATCGTTATGTCTTATCATTATCTAACACATCGTGGCATACATCTCGAGAGTAGGAAATCCATCATACTCGTTTACATTCACCCAAACAAGGATACTTTTGATTCAACGGCAAAGACTTGGATACTCTAACAACATACAACACGACAACTCAGATTCTTCGACAACACTCACTTGTCCCTAAGAACTCTAAAAGTCTCATATGTTCCTTCCAACCTTTGATAATTCCGTAAAAAGATGGTTAGGTCCTCAACCTACACTCATCAACAATGGAGAATCAAACTCAACACTTGGAACGTGTTTGAGATGTCCTTCAATCTCCCTCAGCACATTTACCCACCCTATGTGTCAGCCCTTCTTACTCCACGAAGTTTGGCACTCCACACACCAACACTTCTATCTTGAAGTTATGTGCTTCTACTCGCATCGACATTTCCTTCCTTGAAGTCTAGTGAGACTTCCACCCTATTACATAGGTGACAAGCTCTCGCCCATCATGTCCCTAAAAGGTTTGGACTCCATTAACCACTTCTTGGTCGTCTCTTCGATGATAATCTCAAAATAATGTTCCTCTCACTCGGAACATCATCAACAAACTAAATAGCCGCCACGATCTTAGTTTCCCCCTACTATCTCAAAACAAAAGCACAATGCATTACCATCGGGAGTCTAAGATACATATGACATCGACAAACGGAAAAATAAAAGCCTTCACACGGTCAAGGAAACCCAACCCGATGAAAAAATCGAAGTCATCCAATGGGATCACCCTAAATTCCTCCTTGTCGCTCCAGTCACCAATCTGCAGCTCTATCTTCCTTGCCACTCCAATAATTGGAACCTCTTTAGAATTGACAGTCTTGATCACGCCCTTCGATGGCTCAACTTTCAAAACAAGATTATCGATAACCTTATTTGACATGGATAGATCAGTTACCCATGTTCTACTAAGGCAACTCTCGATTGTTCAATAACGTTGATGTTCACATACATCAACCCATTCTGCTTTCGACCTCCACTTGCCTTGGCAGAACTCAAAATCATTGAGCCATATCTCACAACCTCTTTTACCCTGTCTTCACCCATGTCCTTGGGTAAGTTGATCCTGGGCTTGTCCATCTTCTCGGACCACTCAGCTTTATCCAAGAAAGCTTGCAACTCTTGTGGTCCCTTGCTTCGGTGACCCTCTGTTTGCTCATTTCTTGCCATCGGCTTGAGGCACCTACTACCTTTACTTATACCAACTTCACACATGTCTTCTCCAGACTTATGATATCTAATTAAACGATCACTACTCAAATGTTTACCATTTGAACAAACTCTACTCGAACAAGCATCACACGAAGAGCCTTACTTCTCATTATTGGATCGACCCTCATCTCAGATTCTTTTGCCACTACCTACAACTTTCAACTTTGGCTTGGACGTCTTCTTAAATCCAAATTCTATGATGGACTTAGAGGCTATCAAGGCTTTATACAACTCCTCGATTATCATTTTCTCCATATTCGTCTTTGCCTATAGCTTTAATCTATTTGTGAAGGTAAATAATGCATCTTTTCAGTCAACTCTGGGACTTTGAACACGAGTTCCTTAAACTGACTCGCATACTCCTTCAATGCCCTATCATGTCTAAGACTCCTCAACTTAAACCATGCCTCACTCTTGGCAGGCGCTAAGCTCAACTACACTTCAAACGACTCAGGCTCTTTTGGCCATTTGCTAACTCTAGCTTCCACAGCAACGGCTACCTTTTCGGCATCCATGGCAACATTGGGTTTGGGCAACCCATCCTACTTCTAGCTTTGACTAACCTTGGCAGAAGTAAACATCATTGAACCAAGCTTGGTAGGCTCACTACTCTAGGCCTTGTCCCTTCCCTTGGATTGTTTGATACGGTTTAGGCATTCACGCACCATGTGTGGACCTTTACACCGGAAACACTCCAATTGTTCATGTTTATTTACCCTCAGCTTTCATGCTTGGTCATTGGCTTTCGTGTCAAACTTTACTTCATCTGTGCAATCAAGCACTTTGTGTGGTCCCCCACACTGGAAACACTTCAATGGCTCTCGTTTCTTTACCCTCGGATTCTCTGCTTCGTCACTTGCATTGGCACCGTGCTTTTCTTTATTTGGGTAACTCTTGGCCCTATGTGGTCCATGACATAGGAAATACTTCAGTGGATCTCATTTATTTACCCTCGGCTTTCCTACGTTACTCGCATTTGTGTCGAGCCTCGCTCCTGGCTTGACTCCTTCGACACCCACATTCATATCATCTTTGGCTACTTACCCTTCTGACTTGTCTTCTCCTTTGACAATGACATCAAGACGATTCTTCTCGGGACATCGTCTTATCAAGTGAGGACCATCACAGAAGTAGCATTTAAGTGGCTTGCTACTCTCCTTCTTATTTGACACAGACTTGGCATTGCCATGATTCCTCGATGGCTTTATCTGACCATGATCCATCAATGTCACTCATTAGCCACTCGAAGAGCTTTCTTCTCTATCTGGCCATTGTCCCTTGTCATGGTCTCCTCCATTTTCACCACTATCTTCGGGCATGGGCCTGAACGACTCATCTTTGGTTGGCTTCCACAAGCTCACACCTTGACTCGGCTATAGCTCCGACTTCTGAACAACTCTGGGCATCACCTTGCTCACTGGCAGGCATCGCCCCTGATCTAAGCCCTTCAAATTAGGACCAAATTGATATAATATAAAAGTAATTGTGACCAAATGTGTAATTATACCGAATATTTTAATTGTCACATCACCTTCTCCATTAAATATTAATGGTAAGTGGCTTAATTGAATGCATTTAAATAGTTGAGTGACTTGATTGACAAAATTTCAAAAATATTGGTCAAAATGAAAAGGGGTAATAATTAGGTGGTCATTGGTATAGTTTACCCTCTATTTTAAATAATTTATCTTTAAATTTGTAACTAATTTATAATTATGCGGTGAGTCCTTTAGAACTAAAATTTTTATAAATTAAATTAATGGTGTTCGTCATTAGTGGTGCTCATCACTACTCTTCGAGCATCGTAGAATTTTTCATTTCTTTTCATTTTATAGATTTAGAAATCAAATCGTAGATATAAGTCGCCATGGGTGTTGGATCATGATTTCCCTACTCTTCCATGGAGGAGTTTAAGTAAATTAAAAGATTTGACTATCAACATCATGAATTTTAAATTTATGTGCTAAAAAATTATAAATAATTGAACTGCAAACCACCTGAGATTGACATCTTAAAAAAAATCATATTTGAAGTGAAGATTTACTAAATCAATGAACCAAAAGGCAACAACTATCTGTTTTAGAATCATATACGTTAATGACAATTTTCATAATCTAAGTTTTATTGCAATACTCTATCAATAGCCAAGCCGGACAACATCTACTTCTAGGTTAAATACCGATATTTCAGTAATTTATTCATAAATTTAAATTTTCTCTCGAGTAAATTGTATAGATCTTTTAATTAGTTATAATTTTAATTAATTATATAATTTTATATTTAATATTATTATAAAATTTTCGATTGAATCCATAATTTTTTAAGGATTAGGCACAGTGAAAAAATTAGTCTCTAACGTTTGATCAAATAATCACTTTGACACTTATTTTTTCGAGTATTTTAACCTCTAATATTTTAATTTTTGTCAAAATAATCCATGTTAGATGTTATGCTTTAGTTGACTAGCGTCTGGCATAAGATATTAATATAATATTTTCACATGTACTTTATTAATGATCTTCTCTGCTTTGGACTATCATGATTGATTTGGATACACATTTTGCATTCGTAGATATGTTTTTCACGTCGCTTGACTTTGATTTGCGATCTGTTGGGGACCTTCAGTAGCTTCATCTTCTTTTGTGGTTCATTTGTCGATGCAGTCAAATTTATTCATGCCTTTATTTTATTCTAACTTTTTGATTAAGGTTTTTAACTTTTTCCTTATTTGGTCATTTTGTGATCTAAGTAACTAGTTTTTATATCAATTGTTATAAGAAAATATCCTAATTATAATTTTATTTACGTTTACGTTATACTTGTAAATCTTCATTGTAATTCTTAATAATTTTTATTTTTAATAAAACTAGCAGTTTTCTTAAAAACAAATCCCCCCATTTTTACAAATTGCCCTAGAAAATGTTTGAATATGTATATACAAGAATGATAAACCACATAACAAATGTCATTATTTCTAACTCCGATCATCGCCCACAACCGAAGCTTTGCAGATCGGACACGTATTCTTCATCGACAACCACTTCTTGATACAATGGCCATGGTATTTATGATCACGAGTCTTCAACGCTCCCACTTCATCCATCTCCTTATACTCCTGTATGGAGCCGAACTCAAACTACTTAGGTGATCATCTGCTCTGGATAATTTCATGTTGAAACATACATGATACAAGATGAATGAAATTCTTACCATGCATATCACACGAGCTCTTATACTGGATTTGATCTGAAGAGTGGTAAATTGTTTCGGCCAAACACTTAGATATCGAGTCTTCGGGCAAGCGTGTATTAACACTTCCAATTCTTTCCCCTAATGCAAGTAGTTCCTGCTGCAGAATTCAACCAAAGTAGGTTTAAAAGAATGAAACAGCACCATAATAAACAAGGGGAATATGTACATACCTCGTAAGTCATGTTGTCTATGTCCAATCTCATATCTCTATGCTGATCAAACATATTTCTAGACCCGTAAAAAACGGAGCGGTCCGCGACCGTAAAACCCTAGAGAGTCAAAATAAATTATATAACATACGGCTAACGCTTGTTAAATCAGAAACGTCGGTGGGCAAGCTGAAACATAGGAAAGGCAACTGTGCAGAATTTTCCCAGCATCTCATTGGCAAAAACACTTGATGAAGTAAAACACCCTCAAATGCAACATGCTGAAAGCTATGTGTTGACGAAAACGGGTAAAGAAAATAAAAGAACACGAGAATTTTACGAGGTTCGGCAATGTGCTTACGTCCTCGGTGCCTAGGCGGCGCTAGAAGTTTTTATTCAAATGATATTTTAGGTCTAGGTTACATCTCTATTTATAATAGAAAACCCTGGTACATAATTACAAAATTAACCCTGTACTGTACCGCGGGGGCTGCGCCCCCGCACCCCCAACCCACGTAATTCGTAACCCCACAACGAGACTTTCTTTGTAAGGACAGTTGATGTTCGCTCACTCCGCTCCATCTCCTGTCCTCTTTACTGGTATATTTATGAGCCATACCTAACAAATCTCCACCTTGGCGAATATCCTGCCTCTTGAAAATTCAATGTGGGTTGGGTTACCTTGATTCTTTAACAACTCGAAACATTCAACAAGTCCAAGCAATGCTTGAACTTGTCTGTCGTAACTGGCTTAGTGAACATATCAGCGGCATTTTCATCAGTATGTACCTTCTGAAACAAAACCTCTCCAGATGCAACAAACTCTCTGATCTTGTGGAACCTTACATCAATATGTTTAGTTCTAGCACGATACACCTGATTCTTAGCCAAGTGAATATCACTTTGATTATCACAAAGCAACTGAACTCCACCTTGTTGAACACCCAACTCCTTCACTAAACCAGTAAGCCATAAAGCTTCTTTTGCAGCTTCAGCCGCTGCCATGTACTCAGCTTCAGTTGTAGATAGAGCCACAATAGATTGAACAGTAGACTTCCAACAAATAGGCCCTCCACCAAGAGTAAAGACATACCCTGTCGTAGATCTTCTATTATCCAAGTCACCTGCATAGTCTGAATCCACATATCCTACAACCAAAGGATTATCCCGCTGACTCCCAAAAACAATTCCATGTCCCACAGTACCCTTTAAGTACCGAAAGATCCACTTGACTGCTTCCCAATGTTGCTTACCAGGTTTAGACATGTACTTACAAACTTGACTAACAGCATGAGCTAAATCAGGACGAGTACATACCATCGCATACATCAAGCAGCCAACAGCATTAGAATACGGAACCTTTGCCATATCTTCAGCTTCCTTATCTGTTTTGGGGCACTGTTCTGATGAGAGCTTAAAGTGATTCGCCAATGGAGTGCTAACTGGTTTTGCGCTGCTCATCGCAAACCTTTCTAGCATTTTCTCAACATAACCCCGTTGAGATAGCCGCAGTTTCCTTGAGTCTCTGTCCCTGCAAATTTCCATTCCAAGAATTTCTTTGCAGCACCTAAATCTTTCATATCAAATTCCTGACTCAATAAAGTTTTCAAACCGATAACATCATCCATGTTCTTCGCAGCAATCAACATATCATCAACATACAGTAATAGAAAAATAAAAGAACCATCATCAAGGCTCTTAACATAGACACAACAATCATACTCACATCGGTTGTAGCCAATCTTGATCATATAGGAGTCAAACCGTTTATACCACTGTCTCGGAGACTGTTTCAACCCGTACAAAGATTTCTTCAATCTGCAAACTAAATGCTCGTTTCCAGGTTGAGTGAAACCTTCAGGTTGCCGCATGTAGATCTGCTCCTCTAAATCACCATGCAAAAAAGCAGTTTTAACATCCATCTGCTCTAAATGCAAATCCCAACTAGCCACCAATGCAAGTACTGCTCGGATTGAAGTGTGCCTGACCACAGGAGAAAAGATTTCATCATAATCAACTCCTTTCTGCTGTGAAAAACCCTTCGCTACCAAACGAGCCTTGAACTTCTCCCCCTCTTTTTCTGTTACTACTGGTTTCTTCTTATACACCCATTTGCAACCAATCGGCTTCTTACCCTCAGGAAGGGGAACTAACTCCCATGTGCGATTGTGATTCAAAGACTCCATCTCCTCAACCATGGCTGCCATCCACTTGTCGTTTTCCTGACTAGTAACGGCATCATGAAAAGTAACCGGATCATCACTACTAACAATAAGTGCAAAAGATACCAAGTCTTCAAAACCCAATCTGTTCGGAGGCTTTATATTCGTCCGTCTCACCCTGTCTCTGGCGAGACTATAATCCTGCAAATCATCCGTAGTGGAACCACCAGAAGTCGGTTGAGAAGTTTCTGGTTTCTCAACTGGAAACTGCTCGAAATCCACCACTGTCGTGTCTTGCTTCTGCTGCAACATGGATTGTTCATCAAAAACGACATCTCTACTAATCATAACTTTCTTCGCAACTGGATCCCATAACTTGAATCCTTTGACACCTTTCTTGTAACCCAGAAAAATGAACTCATTCGATTTTGCATCAAGTTTGGATCTCTCATCAGCAGGTACATGCACATAAGCAGGACAACCAAAAATCCGTAAGTTATCAAAACTAACATCATGACCAGTCCATACCTCTTCTGCAACTTTCCCAGCCAGCGATGCCCTTGGCGATCTGTTGATAAGGTAACACGCCATGTTAACAGCCTCAGCCCAGAAGTGTTTGGGAAGCCCCGCATTCAACCGCAAACATCTGGCTCTTTCATTCAACGACCTGTTCATTCGTTCCGCAACACCATTCTGTTGTGGTGTCTTGCGCACTGTAAAATGCCTCTGAATCCCATGCTCCTTACAGAATTGTAGGAACTGTGAATCTGTGTACTCCGTACCATTGTCAGACCGCAAACACTTGATTTTTCGTCCTGTTTGGTTTTCTACCTCAGCTTTCCACAGCTTGAACTTCTCAAAAACTTCAGATTTCTGTTTCAAAAAATACACCCAAACTTTCCGTGAAAAATCATCAATAAAAGTAACATGGTACCTAGATCCACCCAAAGACGATGTCGTGGAAGGCCCCCATACATCAGAATGCACATAATCAAGAATCCCTTGAGTTGTGTGCTTCGCAGTCTTGAAACGGACTTTAGTCTGTTTACCAAGAACACAATACTTGCAAAAGTCGAGCTTACAGCTTTTGACACCATGCAACAATTTTCTCTTGTGTAATTCTGCCATACCACGTTCACTAAGATGAGCAAGGCGCATATGCCACAATTTTGTCGTATCATCACAGGACTCAACAGAGTGAACTCCACCTGCAACGGTACTCCCTAACAATCTGTAGATATTCCCTGCAGTCATCTTGCCTTTCATCACAGTCAATGCTCCTTTAACAATCCGAATGGTTTCCCTATCCTCGTCAGCCTTAGGGATAAAACCATTCTTGTGCAAAGTGCCCAAGGAAATCAAATTCTTCTTCAAGTCTGGGATATGTCGAACACCACTCAATGTCCGAACGGAGCCATCGTGCATCTTAATTCTGACATCACCAATACCAACAATATTGCAACATCGATCATCACCCAAATAAACCGAACCAGAATTAACCGGCCTGTATGTCGAAAACCATTCCCTATTTGGCGTGATGTGATAAGAACATCCAGAATCAAGAATCCAAGCATCCGTCAATTGTGTCGTTGAAATAGAAAGCATATCACCCTCACTGCAATCAGAATTATCATCCTCGACCACGTTCACAGACTTGGATGAGCCATCACGCTTCTCATCAGTCTGCTTTTTCAACTTCGGACAGTCTCGCTTCATATGTCCCGCCTCCTTGCACTTGTAACAGTGAATCGTCTTCTTATCCCTGGATTTGGATCTGGAATTCCGCTTCCCGGACCCTGGCTTCCGTCCACGATCTCGATTACCCTTGACATATAAGCTATCGGCTTGAGAGCTTTCCCCTGCATTCTGCTTCCGCTGGTTGTGAGCCAACAAGGCTGCAGTAATCTCCTCACATTGATAGTCTCTTTCCCATATGTAAGAGTAGTCACCATGTGTTCGTAAGAGGGAGGCAACGAACACAACAGAATCATCGCTCTGTCTTCATCCTCAATTTTCACATCAAGCCGAGCCAGATCAGAAACGATTTGATTGAAGACATTCACGTGTTGCGCCAAATCGTGATCGTCCTGCATCTTCAGCCCATACAGCCGCTGCTTCAGATACAGTTTTGTCGTTAAGGATTTGGACATAAACTGACTTTCCAACTTCCTCCAAATTTCGTCTGGAGACGATAGATGCATGACGTGATACATGACCTCGTCCGCCAAGCATAATCGTATGGTTCCTGCCGCTCGCTGCTGCAATTCTTCCCAATCTTCCTCATCCATCGACGCCGGCTTTGTAGATCGCAAAGCCTTCAAGATCCCTTGCTGCGCCAATAGATCATTCACCCTCGTTTGCCATAATCCGAAGTTACCTGACCATCGAATTTCGCGACTTCGAATTTTGCTCCTGACATCTGATACCAATTGTTGACGAAAACGGGTAAAGAAGACAAAAGAACACGAGAATTTTACGAGGTTCGGCAATGTGCTTACGTCCTCGGTGCCTAGGCGGCGCTAGAAGTTTTTATTCAAATGATATTTTAGGTCTAGGTTACATCTCTATTTATAATAGAAAACCCTGGTACATAATTACAAAATTAACCATGTACCGTACCGCGAGGGATGCGCCCCCGCACCCCCAACCCACATAATTCGTAACCCCACAACGAGACTTTCTTTGTAAGGACAGTTGATGTTCGCTGCGTTCGCTTCGCTCACTCCGCTCCATCTCCTGTCCTCTTTACTGGTATATTTATGAGCCATACCTAACACTATGTCCAAGGGGTTTCCAATCTACTGATAAGAGGACATGTAAGTCCACCTCAAGTGCTAATATGCTAGAACATAATTCCTTCGTAAGTGGTAAGTACCTCAGATGAAAAGCGACCATGGAAAGCTGCATCATCAGCTAGAGATCGATGTCTATCATGATATATCCTTGACATCCCATCCCGCTCATTATTACGCAATGTTACAGCATATAACGATTGAGGGTGCCTGGATGGATAACTTTCAGAAACAATCTGCATCCCCTCTTCCGAGGGTGCTGCATGCCCTAAGCGCATGCTGCTGGAAGAAGCCCTGAAAGTTGGGCAAGATCTCTAAGAATAGTTTGTGCGAATACCCCTTACAGATTGTGCAGAGTTGCCACGGAAACCCTGAGGAAGAGCAGGACTTCTATGTTAGGTTTCCGTTGCCAAAAGCCAGAAGGTAGAAGAATATCAGATGAACTTCCAGCACCAGCATATCTGCTTGAACCACCCCTCTCACAGACTGAAGGAACACTCGGGCTTTTTCTCTTGTGAGGTCCTCTTATACTGCCCATTGAGAGAGCAACAAAATCACCCTCAACTCCATGGAAAGTATGCCTATCATAATTGGAAGATCATGCACGATGCATGTAGTTCTCAGGGGCTGGAGCAAATGTTCCAGGCGCTGGAGCAAATGTTCCAGGCGCCGATGGATGCTGAAAAAGATCATGAGATGAACATGAAGTGTCAGGTTGGTAGTGTGGAGCTTCAACACTGTGGCTTGAGGTTGCAAAACTACTTGGCATCCAGTGGGAGGAATAACGCACTGCATCAATAGACATTTTCTGTCAACAATACCTAGATTTGCATGAAGTTATTCAGCATGCATATGATTCCGGCCCTGCTCATGTTCATTCTCATGTCTATGCCCCATAAGAAAGTCACTTAATAGCAAAAAATAAATGTCTCAGAAGAAGAGAACCGGTAAAAGGAAAAAAAATTCAAATATGAAGAGAATAGATTTATTAAGAACATTTAATTTCCAATAACGGTAGATAATTGAAACAAAGGATGCATTCAGTCTACATGGCCCTTTTACAAGCAAAACACACTGACTATTCAGCATTTCATTGCTTATCAAGAAGTGCCACAAGTTTGGCACAAATACTATCATGTTTTGGATCTCATATATCTGCAGCAAAATGAAAAAAAATGCAACACTAAGAATTGCATTCTTCAGTTGAATCCTATAAATTAGTTGCCACTGGGTAGAGAAATATTGGCTATAAAGCCACCCTCATTGTGCTCCTACCCAGAACTGTTTAATCCATTGATAAGAGAAGAAGGTTTTGCCATGCTAGTAAAACCTAAAAAGGATAGAGTGACATGCACTTCAAAGAACCAGAATATTCACACGACCTTATAAATTTCAATATTTTGAAATCAATTAACAGTAAAAATATACAAGCAAAATTTATAAATGCATCAAGCAGGAAATTCTGGCATAGTTAAGGTCATCCACTACACAAGCACAGGCACGGGCACAAGCACAAATTGATACGTGAAAGGGCCATCTAGACTAGAATTTCAGCAACTACAAAAAAACTTTCTACTTTGGCCCACTACATCAGTAGCGTATCAAGATCAGCAGTCATGTGTTAGGAGTGAGCCAACATGAGCTGCAACAAAAGAATTAGGGAGCTTTTCGCTGTATGCTTTTGCACAGGAAGTAGACAACCTTAATACCAAAGGCATAACTATGGTCTTCTTATAAACTGGCATGTCAGCCGTACTCCCGCCTCTTGTAATTATATTCTTATACATTGCTCCCCATTCCATAAATTTGGAGAGAGCATCCTTCATACTTTGGGGCAAGAATAAGTAAAGGCAAGATAGAGGAGGCTAGATTATAATTAAAAACATACTTTAAATTGGTTGCCAGCACTAACCCGCTACTCCAAGGCAATAGTACCTCAGGCCAAGGCTAGAGGAAGCACTAGAAGCAAGATTGCAGGTCAGGACATCACTCAAAATTGATTTATAACTCGGCAGACGTGAGGGATGAAAATGGTAATCACTTCACCAAGAATGGATAAAAAGTTTGTGAAGTCACAGTAACAGCAGAAGAATGAGGCCTCCTCATCCAGTCATGAAAATAGTAACCGAACGAATATATAAAAGTTCAGTCCCTCCTTGGTTCCCAAAAGAAAATATACCAATTTGCATATAATTAACCTTTGTGATATTGAACTTCCAATCTGTAAGAGAGGACAATAACCTATCCATTACGAAGACAAGTTAGAAGAATACAAAAAACATTAAGATTAAGATAGTAGAGAAAATAAGATTTCAAATTTAAAGTATGCTGTAAACTTTTAAGGGATAACAAGTTGATAAACAGGGACAGTAATATGTAGCACAAGCAAGCATCGTCAAAGAAATTGAAGAGGCAAAATATGAAACAAACTACAATTTTGAAATCATTCATTTTCATAAGGAACTTATGTCAAATGCCATGTGGAAGTATAAATTGTTTATTAAACAAGACGAAAGGTAAATAATTAGACCATATGTTAATATACATGAAAAAGAGCATGAAGTTCCACCATCTCTAAGAGAGTATAGCCTCCTGCTGTGTTCACCGATTGTTACTTTCACCAACAAAGCAATCAGTAATAGAGTAATCTTTACCAAAATAAAGAAGCATTGATGTATAACTTCTAAACAACTATTTCAAAATAAATTTCAACCATTTTTTTAATTCATTCACTTACTTGTATTTAAGGTGTTTTATTAATAAAAAAATGAAAATAATGTTCGACAAAATTTAATTATTTTTCTATGATTTATTCGTGCAATATTAAATTAATTGTTCAAAGTAATAGGATATACTTTTATTTTATAAAGATCTATTTTTGAATTTTCGGTTAAGACCCTGAAAATATCTAAGATGATCGTGATTCTTATGCTAAGGTAAAAATTAATTTTATGACACAGCAGGGGTCGAGGCCCCTGGCCCCAATGGCACTCCGTCCCTGAGTAAGATTAAGATTAAATTTAGAATTGTCAAAAAAAATCACTAAATTATTTCAAAATAATTTTTTAGACATTAAATTTTTAAAAGCTATAAATTATATATTAAAGTTCTAATTTTATTATAAAATGAACACCACACCATTAATTCTTATTTAAAGAATCACGTGGCACATTAAAATTAGTGGATTATCTTATATGTTCCATCAATTGTAACTAAGATTTAATTTTAATACTTTTACAACATTTCTAAAAAATAAAAAGATTAAAAGACATGAACTAAGCGACCTCAATGGTTAAGAGGATAGTTATTATCCCTAAAGGTTTCGGGTTCTAGCACCAGCGATTGTAGGGTATTTGAGCGTCCATTGTCAAATTTTTGAGAGTCTTTAGAGCAGATATTGTTACTTATAATCACCCTAGATTCATAAAAAATATTTTTTAAAAAATATATGAAAATTCATAACTTATTTTAAAATCATAAAATAATTTTTCAAAAATTATAATTTTAAGAAAATATTTTACAAATCATAAAATTTTAATAAAACCCTTCATTACAACTCAAAAAAAATGTAAGTTTAAACTAATGTAAGGCCCTTACAGTTGAAAATTATTACTTTAATTAGTAGTGGATGCCGGATGGTTTAGTTTAATAAAAAATATGAGAATAAAAGTGATATTGTCTAAATTTATATTAGTTATTTATTTATAACGAAGGATTTTATTAAAATTTTATGATTTTAATTTTTTTTTTCAAATCACAATTTAAAAAAAAAGTATTTTTTTTTTAAAATAAAGTATAAATCTTCATATATTTTAAAATTTTTCTTGTATTTTTTAGAATAATTACTAAGAGATATTAGAAAAATATAAAAAAATAAACTTTTAGCTACAATTGAAAATAAATAAGATATTATCTATTAATTTTAATGTGTCATGTCACCTATTAACAAAAACTGACGGTGTGGTTCCTATTAGCAACAAAATTTAGAGTTTAATTATTTATTTTATAATTTTTAAAAGTTAAGTGTCTAAAATATAATTTTTTGGTAGTTTAATAACCATTCTTAAATTTTACCCAAAAGTTAAAAGATGGAATCGAAAAGATTACATTTTTTGATACTTTATTTGGGTTTTGTTTGGGAGATTTTAGATTTGGCTAAAATGGTTTAATAATGTGAATTTGGTTTATAATTAAGACTTTATTAGGGCAATGTTGAAGGTTAATTTGGCTTTACTCTGAAGTAGTATATGTTACGTTTCTTTCCTTTTTTTATTTATAATGGAAAATTATTATTATTATTATTTAAAAATAAGTAAAAATATATGTTAAAATTAAGTCTAAAGATACAGTTTTTGAGTTAAATTGGCTAGAAACGGAAAAATAAAATTTTTAATAATATATTTTATCGTGTCAAAATATCTTCGGCAGATACACTGTTAAAAATGCATATCATACATATCATAAATACATGATAAAAATCAACGGGAGTTGGTTCAAATAGTAAATAATTTGATATCGTTTAAGTAAGGTATTGAGTTCGAGTCTTTGTGTATGCAGAAAATTTCTGATGGAAGACTCACTCATCAAGGCCAAGTGTACGACGTAAGTCAGTCCGAATTAATCAAGATAAAACATCAGAATCAATTCTTAACAGTAGAGACACCCAGGGATGGACCGAATGGGGGCAGGTGAGGGAAATTGTCCCTTGAAAATTTAAGATTACTATACATTTTAATTTTTTTTATGTATTTTCTATTTTTTATTAAGTTAATGTGGTTATAAAGTAGTATTTGTTCTAAATACTCTCAACCATTTGACAATGAACACTCAATCACCCTGTTGTGGCAGTTGGTGCTCGATCTTGTGACCTCTATGAACAACAATAATTCTTTAAACTATGGAGATAAATTGGTTCGTGCATGTGTATTTTCTATTGAATATATATTTTCGTCCATGAAATTTTATAAATTTATTCCTTTCAAAAGTTTTAGAAGGTCACACTCTAATATAAAATTATGCGACCGTCCCGAACACACTTAAAAATTGGGTCACAGTCTGAATTATAAACACTTTTAATAACTTATCCGTCTGAATTATTGCACTCATTTTACCACAGAAATTAGATGAAGCCATTTTTCCACTAAAATGGTTTCCAGTAAATCCAACATTATAATTGGAATATGAAGTCCATATTGGCAGGTTGATTCAGATGGTTCTTCTTTCCTGTTTCAACTTTAATTTTTTTTTTGGTTACAATTTCAACTTACCTTTTTGTACGTATAAAATGAGACTTAAACAAAGGTCAACTGTAATCTATATCTCAACTGATTCTATTAACTTTTTGTTTTACCGTCATCATTCAACCAATCAGATTGATAAAAATATTTCCTTTTTTTGGGATTTGATCTATGTATTTGCTGGAGAAGTGAATGAGTCTGGAGTCCTGGTTTTTATGAAGTCAAAATCCAGAGGCATGTTATGTTCTCTTTTCTGTGTCTCTACCAAACATCAATCCCAGGAAAAAAGGGTAATTTGAGGTTTCCAGTTTCCAGACAAACCCAGAGACATGAAATTCTGTTGCTGTTTCTCGTATTGTTTTCCCCAGCCATCAGAAACATCCATAATCGACGTGAACAAACAGGGTAAATAACATGAACTTGGATTTATTTTTTTTTTGGCTCTTTCTTGTACCTTTGACCATGTTTTGATGCGAAGGGTTTTGGTGTTTCCAGGATTGAATCTTTGTTTATTCAACGTTATTTGCTTTCTTCTCTTTGATTCTTTCAATGCAGAACCTCAAGGAGAAAATGATGAGAATTTTACAGTCTTCTCTTACCGTGAGCTAAGGCTTGCCACTCGTGGATTCTCTGCTTCAAACAAGATCGGAAAAGGTGCCTTCGGTTGCGTCTACAAGGTTAAAACTCTTTGACCATGGTTAGCCTTTTTTTCTTCATGAAACTAAAGTCCATAACAAATTCTGGGTTCATCTTTGCAGGGCTTCCTTGCAAACGGTTCTGTTGTAGCTGTAAAAATGCTTTCGGTCGAACTCGAATCGATGCGTGGGGAAAGGGAGTTCGTGTCTGAAATTTCTACACTTACAAACCTCAAACATGAAAACCTTGTTACACTTAAGGGATGCTGTGTTGATGGAACTAAAAGGTTCTTGGTTTACAATTACATGGAAAATAATAGCCTGGCGCAGGTGTTACTAGGTAAGCTTGTTTATAAGTTTGATATTCTCTGTAAATCAAAACATCGCGGGATACTCGAAATTGATCGGATAGTGTACGGAAGCAGTAGATTTATATCATACAGTTTTGGCTGCTGTTCATTCTGTATTAATAGGTAGAGAGCAAAACAGGATCAAACTCGGTTGGGAGGCAAGGCAAGAGATTTCACTCGGAGTTGCTCGGGGGCTTGCATATCTTCACGACGAAGTTAGGCCGCACATTGTGCACAGGGATATTAAAGCTAGCAACATACTTTTGAATCAGAATTTAGTACCGAAAGTTTCGGATTTCGGTCTTTCGAGAGTTCTGAGGAACGATGTTTCTCATATTAGCACGCATGTTGCAGGCACATTGTAAGTGAGAATTGCTGGGTTTTTTACCGTAGGCTTGATAAATATTTCTCAATGTGTGATTGAATTTGTGGTCGTTGAAGTAACCGTGGCTAATGAAATTTGTTGCAATGTCAAATGAGATAGAGGCTATCTCGCCCCGGAATATGCCTTCAGCGGACGTTTAACTAGAAAAACAGATGTTTACAGTTTCGGGGTCCTACTTTTGGAAATTATCAGCGGCCAGACAGTTGTCGATTTCGACTTAGAGCACGGTGAACATTACCTTGTTCAGAAGGTATCAATGGCGGAAATCTAACATTGCGATAAATTTTCCGATTAGATTACTAACTTGTGTACTTTATCATGTGTGGAAAACATGCAGGCATGGGAGCTATACAGGGCTAACCGGATCCTGCATTTGGTGGATCCTATACTAGGTATGAACTACCCCAAAGAAGACGCGGTTCGATTCATCAAGGTTGGTCTCCTTTGCGTTCAAGAAACAGCTCGGTTCCGACCAGAGATGTCGATGGCCCTGAAAATGCTGACTAATGATGTAGACATGGAAGGAGTCCAGATTTCACAACCCGGTCTTGTTGTTGATCTGATGAATATCAAGCTGGGACAAAAGACAACGTTTCGGAGCCTCTACTCTTCAAATCTGGAAAGCACCCCAAGCCCCCTTAGTTCATGTTCCTGACCTTGCAGCCTCTATTTCATCGACGACACCGAAACTGTTCAAATATAGTCCTGAAAACATTGTAAAAAATAGGAAAAACATACAGAGAGATGTAGCACTTTCCCATAGTAATTTTTCATTTTTTTTTTTCATATCAAAATAAACATACTACAGTTTGCTAGAGATTGAAACATCAAAACTCTCCCTGCTGCACAATAAGCTGTGAGTAAAAGAAAAAAAGGGCCATAAGCAAAAAATAAAGACTTAATACAAGAGTTCCCAGAAGATATTTTTACCTGTATCCTTTAGCTTTTTTGTTAGAAATTGGATTGGAACACACCGTCCATCTTCCCTGATGAAGGTAGCAGTATGCCTGCATGACTCCTCGCATGCCATCCGCGGAGACCACCAGACTCTTGATAGGCTTTGCGAATGGCATACAGGGAGCCAGGCATGCAAAATAGGCATTTCATAATGATACATGGATATGAAAACGATTAGATGCATAACATATATGACAGTAAAGAAGCACCACATGGCATGCAGACATGGATATGCATACACACATACTTGAAAACTGTTGAGGTTTACAAAAATGCACTATGGAAAGGAGGCAAAGGAGATGTATATACAGTGAAGAAAAGAAATAAGGAAAGAAAGAGGGTGACATGTTGGATGAACATGTAATCAGTCATAATCAAGCTGGGCTTCAAGGTGACTTGGCTCTTGCTTTTGAGTTGTCAGTTTAGAATATATAGCTCTAAACACATGCTCAAGCCATGTAATTTTCTACCCCAAAAGGCCACCTTTTCCTACTTTTGTCTCTGAAAAACCCCATTTAACGACTGGGTTTGTGAAGAGTAAGAATGAAGCTGTTTGGTTGGAGAGAAAAAAGAAAAAGATGGTGGGAAAAAGTGGGTACTTCTCTAAGGCCTTTATTGTTTGGTGTGTTTTCTCTTCTTCTCTCTTTTCAAGATCATAAAGCAAAGGCTTATTTGCAATTCTGAAACTGATTTGTCTGCAAGTGCTTGGATGGCATAGATTCCCATGCCTATACACCTGGTTTAGAAAACCTTTGTCCCATCTTCTTCTCTGCAGCTTTCCCTACCCATTGGGTATACAGTGGGGCCTAATGTCCACCACAAGGAACAGTCTCAAAAGGAATATGGTTCCAAATTCTCCAATTTGGTTCCATGATTGATGAACCGAGTTCTCCCCCCCAATTGTTGTTTTGATAGCTGCTACTAGAAATCGCCATGTCAGGGACAGCCTATCATCTTTCTCAGTGCTTGTGAAGAAAACTTCCCATAGGAACACCTGATAATTATATATATATAGTATAAGTTAGTGACAAGTTGACTAAAAAGGTTGCAAAAACTTCAATTATTTTCAGAATGGAAGAAGAAAATCTTTGGAACATGAAAACAAGAATCGTTGTGTTTTGATGTCACAAGTGAGTTGTGCCAAGAGTTGACTCGACCCTTTGTGCTTGGACTCCCCTCGGACTCCAGATTCTCCTCAGTCGAACTCGGAATTTCCTAGGAAAGTGAGTTTCGGATTCGTTAAAGAGATACTTATGGGGTTCTGGGGGAAAATCATGCTTAACGTTTATTATATATTGTATCAGTGGCTTTAAATAAGGTTAATCTTATCACGTAGACAGCAAATCTATTCTGGAAAGGAAAGGAATCAATTGAAATAATATCATAATAAAAAAAATCTAATAAAAAAGGAAATGAAATCTCAATTCAAGAATTGAAATAATATTGTAATCAGAATTTCAATTTTATTACTTAAAATAGAAGTGTTCATAAATTGGATTGTGTCACTGTGATCATCATATCTTACTATATCTTAACATTGAGATCATATGTCTGGGTAAATTTGACATGGAATATGCAGCAACTGTATAATCGATGAGAGCCGAACAAATATGAATCATCGATCAACGATGACATCGATCGGATCGGATCATCCAAGAAAACTAAGTTCATCATCCAGCACTCTTATTAAGAAAAAAAATAGTCTTCTTCACTTTGTGGATATTTAAGTAATACATTGCTTCTTATTCTCATGTACAAGAAATTGATTTACAGTTGCCAAATACCTGTGCGTTTTACTAATCTGTTCAAAATAAAATAGGGGGCAAAGATCATAAGATCGGTCCATCCTTCACGATTTGCTGCAACAATATTACCATATCGGATATAGTAGGACGCTCACTAGGATCTCTGAGGGCCAGCTCAGCTATATCCGCCAATTTAAGCAGAGGCTCGATGTTTCTCGGGAGCGCGATGTAACAATCGATAATGGCAGCTGCCTTGCCCTGTTTTATTAAGGGAACTGCCCAATCAACTATGCTTGCAGGTGTATGATCTCTATCATAAGCTTTCCTTCCACTAAAAATCTCCAACAAAACGATCCCGAAGCTGTACACACCACTTTTCATGTCTCCATTAAGATCGAGATCCCTCTCGCTTGATGTAACAAGTCCAAAATCTGCAATTCGTGCTCCCCAATCTGAATCCAAAAGAATGTTTGAAGTCTTGATGTCACGGTGGACAATTGGAGGTACAACTTCCATATGAAGGTACTCGAGTCCCCTCGCAGCCTGCAACGAAATCTTCAGACGAAGGCTCCAACTCAAAGGAGAAAGCCCTCCATGAAGGTGATCGTGAAGTGTACCATGGGGCATATATTCATAGACAAGCAGCCTTTCCCCCATCTCGGAACAGTAACCTAGCAAATTCACAATATTGCAGTGTCTCACATTGCAAAGGATTTCGAGTTCCATTTCGAACTCACGACTGTTGGTGTGGATTATTGTGGCAGCATTCGCCCTCTTGACGGCAACTTGCCTCCCATCTGCTAGCACCGCCTTGTAAACGAAACCATAACTTCCCCTACCAAGCTCATTGAACTCCTTGAACCCATTGGTGGCATCTTTTAACTCGGAAAGCCGGAAAATTTGAGCTGTTCCGGGACAAGGAGAGACTGCAACAGGAGAGAATACAGCGGCATCACCATCCAATTGGTTCGGTTTGCCTATGCAAGACTTGAACTGTTTCGTTTTCCCTTCGGTTTCCGTCGTAAACATACGTGGGAGATAACACCAGCTAAGCAATATCAGCAACAAACCAAAAGCACAAGAACCAACTATGATCACAAGTCTAATCATATGATGCCAGTGTTTCTCTGGAGATGATGGGAGCCCACAGACATCCCAACAAGAACTGTTTTGGCAAAGAGAGCAAGCAGTGCATATTCGGTCCGCATTCTTAGTGCATGGACTAGACAAGAAGAAACCTGCAGAGCAATTCGATGCACAAGGTGAACAAATCTGCAAATCCTTACTAACACACAAGCTTGTCAAATCTGGCTCGTTTAGGTTACTTGCATTGAAAGCAAACTCCCCTTCGAGGCACGAAGTCGAACGACAAAGACCGGGGCTGCATAATTCCAGAGGAGGATTATAATCAGGATGTAAAGTGGGATTTCGGGACCAACAGTCTAAAACCAAATCATCCTCCCTTATGCCACAAGTAGTGAAGTCCGATGAAGCAAGTGCCATAAACCCGGAATGCTTCGGTACCGAAGAATAATTGAAGCTGCCCCAACATTCAACCCCGTGATTATCTTCTCGAATCCCGCAGAAATGATAAGCACCGGCCGTCAATGATATGAAACGGAGACCGATAGGAGTATCGGAAAATGAATCGGAATCACCCCAGCATATCACTTCACGAGTCGAATCCATGATTCCACAGATAGAACCTTTAGCAGAAGCTAGAACTACGAAACTCTCCGAAACATTCGAAACCCCTAAAAGAGCAGCGGTTGGTCCCCAACACACAAGCCCTCCTTCTCTGATCCCACCACAACTAAACCCTTCACCGGAAACAATCTTATTGAAAGCAAGGTTATTAATACTCTGATTATAAAACAGAGAACTCAGTTTTGAACTTACAGTGTCATTAGAGCCTTTTACAATTTCCCAACAATCAACGGTACCAGATCCATGATCAGAATAATAAGCCCCTTTGATTCCACAAACATGATTCTTTCCAGAAGCTATGTGAGAATATGCTGTGGTAGTATAAATCGAAGGAACAAGATCCGTACCTGACGACATTAAGCTCCAACAGAAAGCTTGAGAAGTGTTTGCTAATATGCCACATAAGAAACCTTCGCCGCCTGATAAAGCCGCCATGGGAGGAACTTGAGAAGCAGATTCCAATGATGCTAGTGAAGTTGAAGCAGACGAAGGGGAAGTAGTAGTAGTAGAAGAAGAAGAGGACAAAGAAGGAGAGCTGTTGTTTTTGCTCCAACATATAACCTCCTGTTTCCCACCGGCGTCAATGGCGCAAAAGAACCCGTCTTCGCCGAATGCGGCGGAGATGGGACCCATGGATCCGAACCCAGATGCGGAAATGGCGGAAACGAGGAGGAATAAGAGGAGGAACAGGGTGGTCCTGAGGATTTGCATGGCGATTGGCATTTGGTCTTTGTTGTTGCTGCTGTTGCTGCTGCTGCTGTTATGGTCTTCTTCTTGTTTGTTGACATGGAATTGAAGTGGAAATGCAGAGGGCGTTTGTTTGAGGTTGAAGTGAGTAATAGAAAAAGAGAAGGGATAGAAATAGCTAATGAGGTTGGTGACGGGTGACGATGAAACAACGTGGGTGTCGCCATTCCCATTTTTACTACAATAATAACCAAAGCTTCCCATATATTACTGTTACTTATACTTCCAGCTTTACCCGCCACTTCTCATTAAATTACCATGTTAACTAAATTCTATTGTTTATTCAAACATACTTTTTTTCTTTTGGTATCCTTTCGGTTTCAAGTCTTTATCTTGATTAATTTAGATCGGCCCACATCGTATAGTTATAGTGAGTGAGTCTCCCAACAAAGTTTTTTTTTGCATACACAATGACTCAAACTTGAGACCTTACTTAAACGATATCAAATTGCTTACCACTTGAACCAATTCATGTTGATTTTATTCAAACATACTTTGATTATCAACAACAACAAAATTAACCATAAGAGGTAAGAGGAGCCTCGTTAAAAATTTAAAATTATTATATATTTTATAAATTTTTATTAAAAATTTACTTTTATATTAAAATTTTATAAATTTTAAATATTGTACATCCTCCGACATAAAATCTTATATATGTATTCGTGTGAATTCAACTAATATTCTTAACCGCATGATCAATTGGTTTTCAGTTTAATGTATTGAGCTTAGCTGTCAAATTTAGGTTTTATTGAGTAAATTATATAAATAAATTATATCCTTAGAATCATTTCTAAAAAGATAATAAAAAAACAGGAATACAAATTATAAAATCTAATAGGTGTGAAATTAAATCTAAAAGTTTAAATTTTTTAATAAATATAATTTTCACGGTAAATTTCGTGTTAATACATAAACTATTAGTTTTGATCTATTTTAGTACTTAAACTTTCATTTTTTTTAAAATCATATCTAAAGATTAGTTTTTGTTTCATTTTAGTATCTGCCATTAAAAACTTTAATGTTTGTTTTATTTTAGTACCCCGTTTAAAATTGAAAGTTAAGTTAAAAAATTTAAAAGATTAGGTACTAAAACGAACCAAAACTGATATTTTAAATAATAAACGTGTTAAGTTTTTAACGGTGTCGTAATGAAATGAAATGAAAAGTAAATGTTAGGTATGATTTTGAAAAATAATGAAAGTTTAGGTATTAAAACGACTAAAATTAATAGTTTAAATACTAAATACGTAGTTTTACCCTTGTTTTTACCGCCCCTTGATAATCACTCTAGTCGAACTAAATATTAACAACCCTAAAAGTGAGGTTAATAAACAATTAAGAAGAAAAAGGCAGCTTCTCACACTATTTAACGTGCATTGACCTAACTTATGAATAGATTAAATAGGTGCTTGTGAAACTGGATGAGTAGTGTGCCTCACTTACCTTTCTCCTGATTTGGTTATCTTATTGAAACAAAATGGGCAGTGAACAATATGGGGTGTGTTGTGCTGCCTCTCACTTTGGAATTATACAAAATATTATCCACCCACTACCTTCATTTTCCCTCTTAATTTACTTTGGCCGATAGAATAGGCGTATTTTCCGAAATATCACCCTAACCCTATATATTTTCCTGTCAGATATCGTTCAGACTATATTTTTCGATCTAACATCCTTTACAGGAAAGCGTGCACCCTGCACCACGCTTTACGCCACGTGGTCGAAGGCGGGGAGAGCACCTTATCAAATGTGTAAAAAACTCAGGTGCTAGTTTTATAAATATTTTTAAACGGGTGCTAAATATGTCATTAATTTCTATTATAGTGACATTCTGGATAGGGTCTTGTCACAAGTTAATGAAGTGGGCAATGTGTATAGTAGTTGAATTTATTAGTATTTTAGTGTTACGAGTTTATTTTTTATAATAATAAATTTTTATAATTTTAAAAATTATAAATTTCATATATTTTGAAAAAATTAGTGAATAATAATTCATTTGATCACTCAATTGTAATTAAAAGTTTATTTTAATATTTTTTATATTTTTAAACAATTAATTTTAAAAGGTAATAATTTTTTCAAAAATATATGGAATTTATAATTTTTTAAATTATAAAATATTTATCATCATCATCATCATGATGTAAAAGAAATAGTAGTTATAAAATTTTATAAAATTATTCATATTTTAAAATATTTACCTTCAAAGTTTTCTTATACTAGATTATACGTATTATGTAATTTTAATGAAAAAATCAAAATAATTTTATTAAAAATGAATAAACATTATTAACTGTTGTTAAAAAAATAAAAATTAATGAATAATAATTCATTTAATCCCTTAATTGTAATTAAAAATTTATTTTAATATTTTTAATATTTTTAAACAATTAATTTTAAAATAAAATATTTTTTTCAAAATATATTAAATTTATAATTTTTAAAATTATAAAAAAATTATTATTATAAAAAATAAACTTGTGACACTAAAATACTAATAAACTCAACCACTACACATACTGCCCACTTCATTAAAACCTTAGCCAGTTCACAACCTGGAATGGAACCGTGCGGTGTGGGTTGTATGCACAATTCAAAATACTGACGTTTTTACACAAATGTCACTATAATAGAAATTAATGACGTATTTGGCACCCGTTTAAAAATATTTACAAAACTAACACTCGAGTTTTTTACACATTTAGTAAGGCGCGCCCCCGGGGGCGCGCCTTCGACCACATGTCGTAAAGCGCGGTGCAGGGGGCGCATCTTCCTGCAAAGAGTGTTAGATCTATAAATATAGTTTGAACAGTGTCTGATAGGGAAATATATAGGGTTATGGTGATATTTCGGGAGAAACACCGATAGAATATAAGATTATTTTTGGAAATAAGATTATCAGAATGTTACATTATTTTTTTTTTGTCTTCTTCATTTCAAGACTTTGTCTTAACTAATCCAAGCCGGCACGCGTCACACACATGGTTTTGGTGAGTGAGTTTTCCAGCAGAGATTTTCTACATACACAAGGACTCGAACTCAAGACCTTGCATAAACGATATCAAGTTTATTACCACTTGAATCAACCCCTATTGGTGGAATGTTATATTACTTAACATATTATTGGAAATTTTGTATTACATTTTTTTGATTTGTTTGGTAAGAATGTAAGCTTATAGTGTTGGATTGAAAGAATATAAGATAGAAAAAATGTACTCCCTTTGTCCTACAAAATTTGTCCAGTATTGACTTTTTTGCATCAATTTTTTAAACTTTGACTAATTATCAATTAAAATTTATTATTGTTAAAAATATGTACAAATATATTTTAAAAAGCTTTTTAAATATATATTTTATAAAAAAATAATTATTTAAAATATTTGAAATAATCATAGTCAAAGTTTAAAAATTTTGACATTTAAAATGTAAATAAGAGACATTTTTTTATGGGACGGAGGGGTATGTTTTACTAAATTATCCTTGAGATATATATATTCTTTTAACAAATTGAATTCTCAATATTAAAGTAAATAATATTTACATGAAAGTTCATAAAAAAATATAATTTTCTATAATTTCTAATTTTAATGTTTTTTATTAAATTTTGTAGACAAATAATTTAATATATTTTAATTTTTAATTTTTTTTGAAAATATAGAAGCATATTTAAATCAATATAATTATATGTTTATTTTTAGGTACTAAAATATTGGGAGATGTACATATTTATACTAGTGTAAGTATGTGTTTATTTTTAGGTTGTGAGATATATATACTTACACCGATGTAAGTATGCGTTAATTACTATACTTTTTTATTTATGCTACATGTATGAATTGTATAACAAAATATCATATCAAATTATATGACAAAATTAATATAAAATATTTAAAAAATATAATATGGAAACAATTTATGAAAACAAATCCTAATTAATACATGTAACAAAATATAAACAAAAAAATAAAATTTAAATCGAACACATACGAAAAAGTAATCGAAATAAAATATTCGTTAAGAATATTTAATGAGGAGCAATTTGTAAATCAAGTATGCTATGATGATGCATTTTTTTCATTTTTTAATAAAATATCCGTTAAGAATATTTATGACGATTCGTTTCTTCTTCAGCTTTGCATGGTAATTTATATACATGCTCTTAATGTTGGTATCAGATCTAAGATGATGATGACTATTTATAGATTGACAGGATAAATAGATCTGACGGTCAGACTTTTATAAAGAGAATTAAATAGTAATCTTATTGATTTGGACTAAAAGGAATCATTTAAACCTAATTAGATTGAAATCTACTTTGTGGAATCCAATCCAATCAACTTGCCTTTTTTTAAAACCAAAATGAACATGGCTTATTAAAACCTATGGGTATTCATTCGGTTAAAACGGTGGCTGACCGAACCGAATTAACCATAACCGAATTAATTAAATTTTTTTTCTTTAACCGTTAACCGAACCGAAATTTTTTTTCAAACATATTAACTGAACCGAATAAATTTCGGTTAATTTGGTTAATTTCGAATTAACCGAATTTTTTTAAAATTTTCTAATTTATATAAAATTAAATATTTTTTAATTCAAAAAAAGTTTATAATTAATTTAAATAATAAATAATTATAAAATAAAAATTTTAGATAAATTTTTTAATTAATTAATATTGATTTAAGTTTAAAAGTTATTGGATCTTAAATTATTAATTGGGTTTTAAATGGTTTGGGCTTAGCCCATATGTTATATATAATATATTTAATATTTTTTTAATTAAAAAACAGTTTACAATTAATTTAAATAATATATAATTATAAAATAAAAAATTTATATAATTTTTTAATTAATTAATATTGATTTAAGTTTAAAAGTTATTGGATCTTAAATTATTAATTGAGTTTTTAATGATTTGGGTTGAGCCCATATGTTATATATAATATATTTAAAATTTAAAATTTAATTTCGGTTAATTCGGTTAATTAACCGAATTCGAACCAAATTAACCGTTAACCGAATTCTAAAAATTTTCTTAACCATTAATCGACCGAACTAATTCGATAATCGAACCGAATTAACCGAACTAATTCGATTCGATCGGTTAACCGAATTAATTCGGTTATTTGAACACCCCTATTAAAACCCTATTTTTCCCTCTTAATGCGAATGTGTACATACACGCACTCGAGCAAAAGAATGAGTC